CGCAGAGGCGCGTCCCTTTTCCCGGCCGGGGCGGTGAGGGGGGAGGGCGCCGAGCGCCCCGGGCAGCGCTGCTCCCTGCTTCGGGGGAGGGAAGCATACATAAATAATAAAAAAAAAAAACAACCCAAATATTTTCAACGGTTTTATTGGGGATAAGCACTTGGAAATATTTGAAAATATTCACCAGCATCACCTTCCCTTTATCGAAACACCCCATCAAAGCCCTGAGGTGAACATGGTCACAGGTGAAGTGTCCCAGTTCTCCCTAGGGCTTTGAAGTAATGCAGACAACCATCGGATGGCACAGAAATGCTTTATTATCTTTATTTGACCAACGTAATTAAAATAAGGCATTACGGGTTACATGTAAACATAGAGGTCAGTCATACATTCCCTCCCCCTACAGCACGTGGCTGCTGCGCAGTAAGCAGGTATATAGTAACAGTAGCAAAAGTTTCAAGTTCTACTTTGACACAGTGATATTTGTCAAGTGGAAATACAAATTCAAAGTTATATTAACATTCAACTTTTGTTTATTTTTTAAGAACATGGCTTCTCTGGAAAAGAGATTCGATTCTGAAAAGCGAGGGTTGGATTCAACATAATGGCATCAAGTCCGAAAGACCAAGCTACCCATAATGTTCCAGACACAAAAACTGCCTTTCACTACCAGAACTTTTGGAACCCAGAGAACTACTGTGTTGTCCAAATATATTTAAATTGAAAGGTCATTAAATATTAGATATCCCGCATATGAGCACACCGTTGTTACTAACACTTTAAATAGTGTCACTTCCTTGAAAGAATACGATACACCACATTTATTTTACTTACATTCTGATGTCTGATTTTATGCCATATATTAATATAAAAGGATTCTGGAAGACTCTCCGAAGTAGTGAGCATCTGCCCTACTTGTCACTGACAATGTCTCTAGCGATAAGCTCTTTCATTATTTCATTGGTACCACCATAGATTGGCTGAACACGGGCATCCACAAAAGCTCTGGGGGGGGGGGAACAAAAAACAAAACAAAGAGATTAAAAACAACTCCTCAGAATTGACATACAATCAAGAGAAGAAAGGTATCAAGTTTTATCTTTGAAGATCCCTCTTTTCAAAGTGTGCTATTCCCATTTATAAAGAGGTTCACATTTCCAAAGAGGTTTCAACTACCTAAAATATTTCACCTTTCCAAGGTACTGTGCCAAACCAGGAATTTGGTCAGTATCTCTTCCCTGTATTTTTGTTCATGTTGTAAAGCCTCCACTATCCCCCCCTCATTAAACAAAAATAAAGCTCTATAAAACCAGACTCTTAACCACTTTCCCCCCCCAATTCTTGTTCCCTTCTTTCCTCACATCACCTGAGCATTAACTCAACTCCAGACACCAAAGCACCCATCCACCCACCACACACATCCTGCAGAACAGCACGCCTGCATGAACTGCAAGACCCAGGTGCCTCATTGTTGCAAAAAAACAACTCCTGCAGAGCCAAACTGATAGTTATCATGGTAATTTGCTCTAATGCCCTGGCCTGTCTGATCCTGTCAAAGAGGACTGCTAACGGTGCTGTCAGTTCTTTCTTTGAGCTGGGACTCGAACACCTTGGGAGGAAAAGAAAGTGCCAACTGGTTTCACATCAGCTGGCTACAGCCTCCTACTGACACCAGCTCCAGCTCCATTTGGGCCAGCAGCCGAAAAGCTGCATGCAGCCAAACCATTTCCATCCCCATGCTGGAACTGGCCCCAGCACATGCACAGCTGGTGACAGCACACAGGACAATGACAGTGTGCTTTTCCATCTTAATTCTGCTCCATTATACAGAGAGCAGCCCAGGAGCAATGCGGCATTCTCTGGAAACACGCATGTTGCTGAACTACAGGGATAATAAAACCCTGTATGGACAACTACTGCACACACAGATAAGCAGGGATTCGAGGACACCCTGAACAGGGCTTGCTGGCCTTCCTATTTAGTAAGATAGGGTGCAGAACACTCAGAAGTTGCACTTACTAAAAACATGCAGGAAAATGTTATTCTAAAGCAATGTTTCATACTCTTAATGTATTTAGAATAAAAAAAAAATCTAAACCTGGTCAGTTAGAAAAATTATTTTAAGTTATCTGTTTATAACAACTGCACAGCAGTCCTGTTTTTCCTATCTCTACTATCAGATTACCCCCCCCTTTTTTTTTTTTTTTACAAAAAAATCCAAACACCAAAAGCTCTACTTATATTAATGTGGCAAATGGCATATACACAAAAGGAAACAAATCTTCACAGATCATATACAAGGAAACATAAAAAACCTACATAAATGTCCCTAAATTCATAAAGTAAGCAAAAAATTGGGAATGGCAAATTCCTCTCTACATATCAATCTCTTAGCTTTTCATTTAAAAAGGTATAAAAAGCTGAATGTAGCCAGTCATGCTCTTGCTTAGGCAATTTTGTGTTATTACAAAAGATTTAGACTGACCAACATGTTTTCCTTCCTTCATATGTATGCATTTAATTTCAGAAAAAACATACAAACTAGCTCCCCTCATTTTTCTTTTTACATTGCTTCTCTGGTTTTTCAATTAACGTTTTCTTCGGGAAAAGCAACTTCTATTTTGTGAAAAACAGGTAATAATTGCTCAACAGCTTATGAATTATTTGGAGAATCAAAACAAAGCCTTCCTGCAGACATCTGTAGAGTGGATTGCCTTTCAATAAACATGATGGGAAAAGGAACAGTAAATCGGTACTAACACAAAACAACTGACAAGTAGACGTAAAGGAAGTGCTTCATTTTACTTTGCTGATAATCTTTCATCATTCAAGTCTGAAATGTTACACTTACTTTGCAATTGGATACTCCCACATGTACCCCCATCCTCCATGCAGTTGCACACACTGAGTAGCTATGCTGTTTTGGAGATCAGAAGACCTTAAATGGTCAAAAATAAATTTGTTTTTTAGAAGGATGTTATGCTGTGAAACATTACTAGATATACAGATGAGTTAGCAAGACAAAAATGTAACCAAACTTTTTACTCTATATATCTATATATCTTAAATGATGGCCATTAAAATACTTTATCTTATGAGGGACTTTTTTTCCTTCCTACATGATTGGTAAGAAATTAATACATTACATTGAACAGTATTTAAGATTTGTTCTCCTTACGGAAGAGCTTTCGGAGAAGGAAAGCTTTCAAAACAGACAAGCTTGTTTACCTTTCTCACAGGCCAAGAGATTTCTTTTGTAAAGTAGGTTGATACAGTCTCTTTGCTTATACAAATCCCCCAGCTGTGCCATAAAAATTAACAGCATCACAGGCTCCCCCCCCCCCTCCCCTTTCTGTTTTAACCCCCCCCGCCCCCCCCCCCCCTTCCATGCTCTTTGAATATAACCATCACCTGGGGATAATTTATTTTCCTCAACAGATTTTACAGTTTTCAATTCTAAGAAATACTGTAATTCTTAAACAGGATTCCCACTGCAAAATATTCAATTATTTCATGATCTTAAAAAAATAATCTTTAAAAGCATTTTGTTTTGTGAACCTTCCGTCTAGAACATGACAGATAACACGCCATTTACAGTTGATGTCCTGTGTATCAGCTTTAGGAAAGCTACATACTTGATGTTATTTCAAACACTTGATGAAAATTAGATGAAAGAGCCCATAGGATTTTAACTGTACTGGAAGTTCAAGCTAACATTGAAAGACATGAAAACCACCTAAACACACAACTTTGAGTGCCAACAGAAGTAAAGAAAATGACAATTCAAGTCAATTGCTTCTCATGGAATAACATGAGAGTCCTTTTCTCCAAACCACCCCTTCTCCCTTCCTCCAAACCACCCCCCTACCCTGTCCAGTTAAATCCTTACAGTTTATTATACCAACTTTAAATCTGCAACGGTGAGTTACCACAACTGTCTTTCCTAAATATATTTTCAAATTAATTTAGCTACACAATACAACCTGTCACCACAAAAATAAGACCTACAGATCTTTCATCAGATAACAGAAAAAAGATGCACAAACTAAGTTTTAAAGTTCTTCAAAGCTCAACTCAAGTCATTGACTGTACAAAAGGTTTGAAGCAAAATTAACTGGAGATAGTCTCCTAAAACAGTAGGGAATAAAACAATTCTACTTTCAAGCATTTTCTAGACCATGTAAGAGAGTTTTATGGAAGGGAGCCACAGGGACTCCATTAGGAAAAGGGGAAATCCACAACAAAGTGTGGCACTAACATTTGGAAGGGTGGGGTAGTTTCAAATGCCTCACTTGGGGAAATTTGTTGAGGAGGTAAGTCTACATCTGAGCTGGCACTAGTTGCTTCCTCCTCCTCAAAACTGAATGCCTCTGCTTATGTACCTGGTACATCTAGGTAATCAGTGCCAGGAATAGCACTCAATCAAAATCCTTCCTTTCATTGTAAATATTCTCTCTGGATTCCCTTAGTATTCTCCGCTCATTTCCTCTACACTTATTTTTAAAAGTCTAGAATCTGTAAACCTATGCATCTTCCATAAAATTATTTGTTCACGTCTGATGTGTTTTTTCTCTCTCATCTTTGCAAGCAAAATAAAACTATACAAATTCATGTGCCACTATCTTAGATGCTTCTACTCATCCAGCTTTCTCTGGTTAAACCTAAGTTAACAGATAACACCACCAAATACAGGGAGAGGGAAGAGGAGTTCTGGCCAATAAAGGAAAGCACTGTTTAGTCTCAGTTACAACAATAGCTGTAGCCAACTATTTCTTCCCAAAACCAGATAGCTTCAAAAACTGGCTGGGCCAAACAGCTATTGCTAAGTAACACTAACTAAAAAGTATCATATGAGCTTAAATAAACCTGTGCTTTTAAAAAAAGCAAACACTCTCCATTAAAAAAACAAACAAAACAAAACCAAAACCACACCCAACAACAATTTGCTACAGTAAAATGTAAATGTTTGTCTAAATACCAATGAAGTACCCACTTTTACTTGAATCTAAAGCTGAGTCCTGATCTTGTTATTAATGGAAGCCTATTTTAAAAGCCTGCTATTATTTTGAAATTGATCTGTTTAACCAACACTGGTTTTCAATGTAACTAAGATTTTTGTCGACTACATGATTAATGTTAAAACCAGTGGTCTCTGTTAGAAGCTGACAATGTTGTTACTAATCAGACAGTAATTTTATCTTTTCATTAGATCTGAACAGTTCAGTGTTTTTATCATTAGACTCCTGTCAAGATCATGCAAGTAACACTTCCAAACGACTTTAACCACACGACTTTAACCACATACCAATACTTTGCCATAGAAGCTGTGGGGGAGTCCAGACGTTTATCTGCATGCAGCTGCAAACAGTTGTCCATAAAAGCTCGGCCCACACAAATCTGCGTTTTCATTTCTGCCAACTTGTGCTGTACCGTCTTATTTTGGAAGTGGATAGAGGAGGCAGAGGAAAGAAAGAGCAGAAGTAGTACAGTTTCAGTGATATTTGAAGTTGAAAATGGAGCGTTTTCTAAAAGGATTTCTGTTAGAAATCATCATTTCAAACAACTTTGGCTCTGTACATCGGAAGACAACTTACTTGCCATACAATTATATCTTTACCAATCTCATTACAGAAAATTACTGCCCTTTACTTCTCAAACCAACTCAAAACATGACCTTAAGAGAAAAACCCCAACAGCCTGAAAACATAAATTCCTAGAGAGTGCAGAGTAGGAGGCACTGGGTGCTCTGTCACTCTCAGCTACCTCTTGTGGGGGAATGTCCTTTCATCCTGTAGAGCCACTAATCTCCCCAGTTATTAATAACATTTCATCATCCATTGGATGCATTTTTCTATGTATTCAGTTCTTTAGAGTTTAAGCAATATGCAAAGAGACACAAGCAAAACCAAAGGAAATTTTAGACTAACTATCAGAAAGTTTTCCAACACTGAGTTCTGTCACATTGGAAAAGTTTCTAGACAGAAGAGGTAAAATCCATCGCTAAGGTTATACAAAACCAGACCAGGCAAGCATTTGACTGTCTTCTTGTAATTCTGGTAGGGAGGGGATAAACACACCACCCAGAAACAAAAGTTTTTTCTGATCTCACAGTTCTAAAATTGTATATACGAAGTCTTCTTGCTTCTCTTGACAATATAATTGACCAGTCTACTATTATTACAAAGAAAAGGTCTGATTTCAAACACTGTAATGTGGCATGACTAAATGAATTAGGCAAGGCAGAGCTCTAATTAGAAAGGATTTTTGATTATATGCACATTCTAGTCATCAGCAACAAAAAGGAAACTGAAAAGGTATGCAAGAATGGATTATTTTGGCAAAAATAATATACTGTATGAAGTTTATTGGCCACCTGGTGGTTGGCAGTGGGTTAGCCTAAAAAAAAGATTATTTTGACAGTCTCTGCACAGTGAACTACTACAATTAGGAAGCATCCCTTACATTTCACCTTTTTTTCATGTAGGTGTTTCTTTTGTTAAAGCTGCACACTGCACATACTAAATTCCATCTGGAATTATGGATTTCTGAATGTTAACTTTAAAAACAGATGATGATCATGATTTCCTGAAAGATACCTAGCATTCCAGCCTCTAAAGGGCCCAATTCTGCTGCTATTCACAACAACTAGAGATTTGATTTTGACAAAGTAAGTCTCAAGACTTCGAAATTTTTTTTTTTAATTATTTCAAAAGTATATAAAAAAAAAAAGAGGTGGCCACCATCCTGTAACCCGTATGCACCACTTCTATCCTATAAACCAAACATGCAGGAGGTTGGTCTGCTTCAGCCCTAACAGCTAATGTGGTTTTCAAGAAAATTGTAACATCGCAATACTGCGGAAAGCAACATCTGTTTTATGACTGCAACTAAAGGGTGTAGGCATAAATGTCTCAAAACACAATTAACTACCACTGTCAGCAGTGAGGTGTGCTCACAGAGAATGATCCAACAGTTTTATATGCAGTCACTTAAATACCCAGCTAGCTGGTAGCTAAGGAATTTCATTACAATACCCATAAAGCTGAATACAAACACCTCTGCAGGCATTCAGGCAGCAAGGTCACTGCCTGGGAGCCCCTACCAGCATCAGCCTCCAAGTACATTTTTCTGCAATGCATTATGTGCAGAAGAGCACAGTACCTGCACATGTACCAAGCTCTTCTGTAGTCTGTAGGATTCCAGGCAGATATAGAAATATATGCAGGTGTAATAGACCCTGTGATTAGGACCTCTGACAGTAAAATGCAAGCCTAAGAGCACCAAGATAATTTTTCTTCATCAGCAGCAAAAAGCCAGTAGTTTCTGCCTGCATATTTCACTGCCAAAAGTAGCACTGCTGGGAGGTATCTCACTGAATCATAAAATACATGCATTAAGGCTTTTGTGGTGTTGGGTTTTTTTATTATTTCTGTTTTTCAAAAATGAATGATGGGCATGGAGGCAAACAACAGCCACAGTCCAACAGTGAAACGTGTGCAAATAGTCCTTTGAAAACAGCCCAGTAATTTTCATTTGCTTACTGTTTCACATACACAGATGTAAAGCAAATGCACACTGGAATCTGTATACAAGTCTCTCAGTTCAAACTCACCTGCAAGTGTGCAATTGTCTTCCCAAAAGCTTTTCTTTGCTTCACATAATTCCTTGTTTCTTCAAACATGAATTCACAACTGGCAAGAGCCATATCAGCAATTAGCAGTCTTTCCTTTTGAAACACAAATTACGGAATCCAGTTGAATTAGTCCTACATTTGTCTGTATCAGATGCACAATTGGGACACAGATGTTCAGTGTTGTTCATTAAGGGAGGGGGGCAGAAATCACACTAAGTATCAAACCAGACACACTGCATTACTGAAATTAATGAGTGGGACAAATGCCTTGCTGCCTGAAGCTCCCTTTTAAGTTTTTTCCAGGGTAATGTTCTATCACAACAATGACTCAAAAAAAGCTACAAATCAACCACAGGACTCTTACTGACTGAAAAATTCGCATCAAGTTGTTTCAATTATTGGTTTTCACTGCTCAGTTTAAACAACAACTGTATTTAACAATTTCAATAGCACACCTCTAGAAAGACAAAACCTACAAAAAAACCTGGCTGTTTTTTCCTTTCTCATAGCATGTTGAAAAACAGAAACTAAGTCAGAACAATTACTTCTAGCATCATTGAAATCATCTGATGCATCACGTTGAACCTGTTCATGAGTGCATCTATTTCTTTAAAGCAGAAAAGATTTCCTTTGATCAGGTTTCGTATTTACTCACAGTATAAAATTAAATAAACATGATCCCTACCAGATGAGGCAAACGTGTAGTTTTGACAAAGCACAGTCACGTTTTGAAAAACCACATTGCCTCTTTGTCCTCCCAAATAATTCCAAAACTTCATAAACTAAGTCGTAAACTGTTATTTCCACTAGCAAGGTATTTTGGCAACTAAACAATTTCTTTACTTTGCTGTATGGACAAAGAAAGAGTTCTTTATATCTTTGATAGGCTTCTACTGGTAGATGAGCTAGAACAGCAGTGCTTGCTTGTTCTTTAAAGAGAATGCCAAATGCATCAGAGATCTCCAAGCTATACTTAATTTACTAAGCAAAGTCGTTCCATGCTAGAAGTATAGAAGAAAACTGTGGTATGTTCTTTTAAATACACTACCCTAAGCTCAGGTTCTTCAACAGCTGGGTTGTTGATTAAGAGATGGTGGGATATCAACATTTTTACCAATACCCAAAAAATTGCACTTTTAGCACTAGGAACTGCGTACTTCAGTTAAAAAGCAGCAGTGTCAACACAATGTTGCCTACAGACATCCAGATTCTGAGCCCAAGGTGGCTCCCCATGATACATAATCTTCAAGACTAAGGCAGATTCTTGTAATGACAAGAATCATCTCTGTATTCTTCCTACAGACAACGAACACTCATGTTCCTCTTACCTGAGGGAGCTCTGCCATCAGATAATAGAAGCCTTTGTTCTCTTTTCCAAGCAAGGCACTGGCTGGCAACCGCACATCTTCAAAAAACAGCTCTGCTGTGTCCTAACAGGATTTTAAATGCAACAGTTTATAGCCTGACGTTCTCATCTCTTCATTCCACTTCTTTTGCCCATTTTTTTCTTGCTATTGTACACTTTAACTTGAAATCATAGAATCATTTAGGTTGGAAGGGTCCTCCAGAGGTCATCTAGTTTATCTCCTACTCAAAGCAGCTCCAGCAAAGCAAGCAGCTGAGGGCCTTGTCCAGTTATGCTTGCCAAAGCTCCAAAGATGAAGGCTCCACGACCTCTCTCGGCCCCTGTTCCAGTATCTGATCACTTTTATGGTGAATTTTTTTCTTAATACATCAAGGAAAATTCGAAGTAGGTAACTTGTGTCCCTTGCCACTGTCCCTTTCACTGTGCTCCTCTAAGAAGAATCTGGCTCCACCATCTCTACAGCCAACCATTAGGTAGCTAAAGACACCAATAAGATCCTGTCCTTCCAGGCTTCTTCAGAGTGAAGAAATCCAGCTTCCTCAGCCTCTCCTTGCACATCACATGCTTCAGACTTCCATAGGCAAACTCAGCATACATACTATGCATGTATATCATTTGTGTTCTAAAGCCTAAGAACTAGAATAGCACCACAGTTCCATTTTATATTTATTTAGCTAATGCCAGGCATTAAGTGGTTTTAGACTTCCTCCAAGCCTATTACGTGTTAGGGGTTGTATGAACTCACTTGAGCTTTTAGGCCAATTTTGTTCAGCTTGCGTCCTTTGATGAAACCTTTTATTCCATTTTCCACCAGAAAAAGGCTGATCCCATGAGCAGGAGATCGGGCCTCCCGGTTTGTAACCGCTACCACGATCACTACATCGCTCATCCAACCATTAGTGATGAATACCTGTAAAAAATGCAACTTGGAATAAAGCAATGAGCTAGGTGGACAGAAGTTAGAAGAGATCATCGAGCAGCAGAAAGAAAAATTGCATTGACACTTTCACAGGTGAACTGAAAGGCAAGGTTTAAGTGTCCAGAAGAATCTTAAGCTTTAAGCTTTCTGAATTAAGTGGTTTGGAACAAGGTCTATTAAAGTAGGAATTAGTTTGAGCAGTATTGTGTGGGTCAGAAGTGTGAAGTTAAAGAATGCAGAGATCTGTTTCTTTTGTCTGTCCCATGATAAAGAAGGAATATGGTGTCAAATGTTATTAAATGAACACAGAGGTTCTCTTTTCTAGAAGTTAAATTAGCAAGGTACAACATGCAAAACTATCAATGGCTTCTTGTCATAACTGCTTACTATAATCCTGTAAAATGACACATGAACCTGCCAAAATGATCCATCTTAACTCCAGTAAAAGAAGTGAGCTATCTGTCCTGCTTGACTTCAACTGTGCAGCATGGGCAAGTATCCTTTTGAACACCTGCACGTACATATCTGCTTGCACACATTCTCACCGCTTGAAATTCTGCTAAGGCCAGAAGTCTCTATCAGTACCATGTTACCAGCAGGAGTACAAAAGAAGGTGGGGGACAAAGACATTTCATAGCTTTAAAAAAAAAAAAAAACAGTTGAGCCCACACTTCCCTAAGAACACTTTATTTCTGCCTTCTTGCTTTTTTATTATGGTAACAAAAGAAGAGGTTAATGCTGCCAGCTTTGCAAGAGCTCGACAACACACACAGAGCATCTGATGCAGTTCATTTTTCTTCTCCTAACATGACCAGCAGGCTCCTGAATAAAGATTCCACAGCTTGCACTGTGGCAACCCAAGTTTTCACTCAGGCCACAGAAGATTTCACAGTGGTAGTATATATATTTTGTTGTTCAACCTCGGTACTAAAAAACAGCCCTGGTCCTGCTTATACTATGCAGGACTTCCCCCCACCCCCTTTTCTTCCCAGTTTAAGGGAAAACAGGCCTTTTGATAGGGTTATTTAAAAGCTACAAAAAGAACATACTCAAGCCCTTCCATAAATTGGTCCATAAATTGCCAGCAACAGAAATACCTTAAGTCCTATTAAAAAAAGTAACTGAGGGGAAAAAAAACCCACAACATAACCCACAAAAAAAACAAAAGTGAAAGGACTGGGGGGAGATACTAACAGTGGTGTACATCCTTCACTGTCTAAATGCATTCAGTTCCCAAAGCCTATGAGCAGCATATGTCTGTTCACTTACCTTACTCCCATTAAGAATCCAGTCACTTCCATCCTTTTTTGCATATGTTCGTATTCCCTGCAAGTCACTAAAATGAAATTCAAAAGGTCCTTCAAGAAACCATTCCAGAAGCTGCAATTTGTATCTTGAATTTTACCCAGTATAAAATAAGGTAGATTTTATACTGGCCAGGCACAGGTTCAGTGCAAATGCATCCGAGGATAATGAAACATGGTGAAAAAGCTGAGAGCGTAACAGAAACCACAAGCATGCTGTAGCAAGGGATGATAGATCTATGCAATTGTACAAGAGCATAAGGTCCCATTTTAATGTATCTGCTTGTGGAAGGTGGTGTAATACAAGCACTGACACCAACAGGTCAGCATCCCCTTATGTCAACATGCCTTAGAGATGACAAACGCCAGACAAAACCACATCCTCTAAGCAGGCTCAGCCTGCTGATGAGGAGGCTCTGTAAAAAGCCACTGGCAACATCCACCATCTGTAGAAGCATGACACCAACAGGTTTTGCTCTTCACCTGTCCCTCTCTGTTTTGGAAACTGGCCAGATCAGCTGTGTCTACTCCAAACGTGCTGTCTGCCCTTCAATAATAATGATGGGCAAAGAGGGACATTTCTTTGTTAGAAATGATTCAGAGGAAAGAAAATGAGGTGATCTGTTCCACAACAAAAGCTAATAGTAAAGTCAAGCCCTCTTTATCAAGGCATGTAATTTTCTCCTGACTATGTTTCATATTAAAAGTGTGTTCACATGACTAGCAAGTTAGTAACTATAAACTCAGACCAGAAAAGCAAATACAAAGCGTGTTTGCCCACAGTGGGATGATACTGAAATGGATTCTGAGCAAGTATCTTGAAATGACAAAGCTGTAATAAAGTAATCTATAAGTAACAGTTGTTTTTGAGGTACTACCTAATCTAGGATATTGTCTAGTCACTAAGATGACCATATAACCAGGAGGGTCAGGAATTTTTTCACTGAAAACATGTGCTGTCTACCGATTTAAGACCATTGTTTCAGTATTTAGCTTACCTGCCAGCCCCAGGTTCTGTCATGGCGATAGCTCCAATACACTTGCCTGCAATCATTTCAGGGATAAAGTGTTTAATCTGTTCTTCAGAGCCATAGTTTGCAATGTAGGGCATAACTATATCTGAATGGAGGCTGAATCCTGGGCCAGTACAGTTAACATACATCCTTGGGGAGAGGGGGGGGGGAAAAGAAGAAAGTTCAGAGTACTACAAAGATTTAAACACTGAACTTTACACAGTTACAAGAGACCCAACAATGAAGAAAGGCCCACCATACAGATGTCTCGGACATAATCCGAGCTTGTGGCACTTGTACTGTTATTTATAGAATGTACTTTCACAGCCAAATGAGCATACAACCTACCAGACTAACTAAAATGCTTCCCCCAGTCACAAAGTCCTAACAATGGAGCACAATGACATTTGTAACTTAAAGAATCATCCTGAATACTTAAAAGAGGAAGGATTTACGTATGTCTAAACTGTCCTTTCCATGAGAAAGATAACACCATTTTCTGTAAGCAAACATATTCCACAATGAGGACCATCTTATGGAAAAACATACAGTCTCTTGATAATATTACTGAAATTCTTCCTGAAGCGTCTAGTACTTACTGCTCCTCCCAGACCACAGCTGAAGAGAGAATATCCGCTCCGATGCCTCCATGTTTTTCAGCAATAGCAACACCCAGCAAACCCTGCTGTCCAGCCTTTTCCCAGAGCTCCCTGCTCACCTGGCCATCCTTCTCCCATCTGCAAAATGAACACAAGAAGAGTCATGCATTAAATCCCCCCATGTGCTACTGTTTATTTGTCATGGCTGCTGCTTCACACTAGAGCACCTGCAGCCAGGTTTCACTGCACAGGAAGACACTTTCAGTCTCCTCAACACACAACGTGTAGGGTACATAGACAACTATATTTCCCAGCTAAGAAGCGGTAGCTTAATAATAGGTTTTCTATTCTTCAAGTCCACAGATACAACTGGCATTACAGGGGCACCAACCGCCTAACCAGTTTGAACTCCTGCTTCCAACATATAACCTGACATCTCTTTAAGCCTTGTTATGAAAGGCAGTGCTGCCTATTGGTCTGAGTACCAGACCAGGATTTAGGACATTTAGCCACAACCATCCGGATAATTACAAGCAGGTCTTTATCTTCCTGACATTCCATTTTCCCCATGTACAAAATCGGTGTAACACATCAGTATTTTATGTGAAAGATTTCAACTCTACCAATGACAACTGCTTTATAAGAATGAAGCATTAACACATTAGTAACTTTTACATAAAAATCGGTCCCTGTGCACTTATTACCAAGTATCTTGGTAAACTACTGCTGTAAGGTCGTTTCAAGTTTGTAAATAGATAGTTGAGGCTTATCTGCTGACAGTTTGCAGACTTCAACACCACAGGAATCACTTATTCCTGGAAAAACAGTGCCTCTCTATGGAGTTTGCCAACTCAATAGAAAGTTGGATGGCCATTAATGGCACAGCATAGCTTTTTTTTTTTTTAATTTCTCTTTTTTTTTTTAAACCACAATTTTAAAATTATATGGTAGACAGACTAGATCAGAGACACTCCTCTGACACACCTGTGTGCAGCAGAGCTATACCACAGCTTTCTATCCACAGTTAATCAGGTACCTTATCCTACACTTTTAAGCTCATTCCCAGAGCTTTCGTTCCTACACTGGAAATCTTAAACAAATCTCTCTTGTGA